CCTGGACCATTCATGCTAATACAGCAGACAAAGCTGGTTATAGCAATACTGAAAACTTTCACAGAAGCTTGCTCTTGATGTTGCTGTTCTAGAAAGATACAGACAGAGATGTACCTCTCAGGAAGATAAATCCAAATAAGGAGGGTGGAAACAATGATGCAGTAACACCCACTCTCTCAATATTTCCTTAAAAAACCCAAATCACCAAAAGCTCATTAATTAGAAAATTTTGTATTCCTTCAAGTTTAGCATAACTTAGAGCAGTTTGAGAGGTACTTTCCAAGTTGAGTAGGAAAGTTGTGTCAGGGCTGCTTTCAGGGAGGTGTTACAGAGGGAGGCCTATGCAAAGTGCAGACCACCCTCACCTCAGCAGGTCTCCTACCAAGACAGAAGTCTCCAGCATGGTGCTGCAATTTGCAGAAGTTTGAACTAAGGGCCATGTCAGTTTGTTTTGGACCTGAGGACTGATAACAGAAACTGCCAGAGCTCTGAAACAGGCAAGCAGTGCTGCCTAATTCACAGCACGTCCTTGGCAGTCTACCTACACAACTTGTGAAGGATAAGTCTTTCTTTCAAACTGTCAAAAAAGGCCAAGGACAGTCTGGGCATTCTCCTAAGTAATTCCGTGCTCTTGATGCAAAAGAAACCCTTACCAATAAAAAAAATAAAAATAAAAAAAAATAAAAAATGCCAGTGTCCTAACTGGATCCAAGTGTGTGAAATTTAATTTCCCTGAGGGCTGAGAGTGAAGATTGGGTAAGAAAACTGGGACACGAATGGATTGGTTCATATGAAAACCTGAAATAGCCCTGGGCAGAAATTTGGAAGGATTGTGAAATACTGTATAAGAAGAATCCACCTTCATATGCAGGGAGTAACTCAAGATGGGAGATGTAGCAACACAAACAGATACTCCAAAAGGTTCTACAAAGCTATATACAAGGTTTTAAGTGAATTTTTCCCATTTTGTGGTGGGAATATAGAATGCGGCAATCCAATGCCACGGTGTTATGCAAATATCTGTACCAGATGACTTGAACAGAACTAATTAGAAGTTCAGATGCTTTGAACATATGAGATAGACAACATTGCTGATATTGCTGATATCAGAGATATCAGACAGCTGATGCTTGTATGATCAAAGTTAAACATCTTCCCATTTAGTTCTGAAATTCAGTTGAGGTTGTCTTAGCCTGGTACACAATAACTTTTGGTAGATGGTGTGCAGACAGTATTAAGGCTGAGAGATGTAGGAATGCTGACTCCAAGCAAAGGGTTCAATCCTACTGCAAGATGACAATGCACTGGAAGGAGAGTAGGCTGCTTGGGTAAAGTATCAGACCGAACCAGCCAGTGCTTCCTCTCCTCACAATCATAAGTCCTAACACTTCAACCTGTCCTCCTCAGACTTTCTGGTGACCATGGAGAACAATGGCACTGAATGTGCCTGAGCTCTCGGGGGAGAAAGGCTCCTTTAGCAGACCCTCATCTTGGATCCACCTTTCCTGGAATAATTTTTTTTCCCCAAGAAAACAATTTTTTAAAAAAAAATCTTCATTTGCAAAAACCAAGCAATTAAAAAATTTGTACACCCAAGCCTTTAACAGGTAGGTCTCTGTTGCCAGATACCAACCTGAAGATTTGGTAACTTCAAGTAAACAATCTGTTTGTACAATTTGTGCAGGGGTGAATGCGCTAAAAGGACATCTGCTCCCTCCCCAGACTTTAAAAGAAAATTGTTACTTATTTCATCAGAGGGATCTTACATTAGGTCTTCTTGGTAGACAGGCTGATTCAAACTGCCTCTTGCTGAAGCCTAAGTCTGGAAAACTGTACTATTGGGCTTCATAAACCATGTTTGAGGCATGGTCTCTCTGGTTTCTTGGGAGAATCTGAAGCCTGTTGATAAGCTAAAGTATTCATAGGGGATTTTCCTTGTGAAAACAACAGATTCTCCCTAGTCTGGATTACAACTAGACTCTTTAAAATTTTATGCTACTAGATTTTAAAATTAATTTTGAGGGCTCTTTAAAGCATTATTTTAGCTTCAGAATTTATAATTCTAGGATTACTCAATTCAAACCATCTATTAGATAAGATGCTTGTCTGTCAGATTGCTTCACTGAGTCAGCTTTTTCCCAAAACACTGATTCTTTGGCTTCTTCGAGCACAAGAGCATTTGAGGGAAATCCACAATGGCCTTTCCAAAGCAAAGAGCAGGGATCCAGCAACGGTAGCAAGACACCTTTACAGTCACACCAAGGTTTCTTTGGAGGAATGAATAGATACCTGTCAGCAGGCATTTTACATGTCAAGGCACAAACCAGGTTGGGGAACCTAACAGAAGAACTATGGAAAATGATCCCTTCAAGCTACAAGTCTTTACCTGATATTATTTAAGGAACTCTTCTTTAAAGTACTCTTTCCAATTCATACTCTGCTGTCCAGGAAGAAGAAAACAGTGAGGTACAAGGTGAGATGCTATTGACCCCAAAAGGAGAAGGAAGAGTACACTTTCTCCAAAGCAGAGACTGCTCTATCAGAACAGGTCTCCCTCACACCAGCAAGTCAGAGTGACTCCAAAGCTGCTGGTTTGAATATCACCCTTTCAATCTCACAAAGAAAGATGACTCTGGTACCTGGCCCACAGATGAAAGGTTCATTTTAGGCTTCTGGCCCTTAGACTACATGTAATACGAGTCAGAAACCTAATGACTTTCGTGTCTCAACCTGTTACGTGCTGGAGCCTGCAACCGATGCCTTGACTCATCCCTGGAGCACTGCTCTTTCAGGCAAGATAATCAAGAAGTTATTTTTCATAGACAATACTTCATATAACAGTAAGTCTCAGGAGGTTTCAACTGGCCCAAAAATATCTATGAGACCATCCTTAGTTCTGATAACATTCACACATGTGATATTGGCAGAAAAGGAAACATATAAGCAATGTTGACAAAAACCTTGTGCTAAAGTTGAGTAACAAAGAGTCTACCTAGATATAAACTGACCAGGTCAGGTTCCAAGAAACAATTTGTATTAATGTCCAAATGTTACTGGATAATTTTTACCTAGCACTTGCTCTATACAAATATGCATATATATATATATATACACACACATATATATACATCCCAACCCTCCACTGGAAAAAAACCCGATGGCAAAATCTCAGACAAAACCCAAACAACTATATCATGATTACTGTCCTATTGCTTCATGCCATTGTCTTGACATGCAAATAAGTTTAATAATTGTTCTTTTGAAGCTGCTATATGTTAAAAAAAAGTCTCTCAGGTTCTGGAAGTGGCTGGGAATTCCAGGTTCTAACAGCTACGCTGGAAATATTCACTCATCAAGAGGTTCAAAAGACACTGTCAGAACTGAAACACAAACACATGTCAGAATGACTTGAAACAGAATGACTGTAACTCAGAGTTTGGGTTTTCTTTAAATTATGTTTGAAGAGGTTTTAAAATGTTTAATTTATTAAACTGGCTTTGATACTACAGGCATAGCTCTCACTTTCAAGTGCTACAATGGCTAAATTGAGCGCAGAATACATTAAGCTTAAACTCACAGCCACCATACACATTTTTGAATGACATTTTAGTGTTTCTCCACTTGAAGTAATATACTCTCTCTGTGAATTTGACATGAAAACAGAAGCAGCAGCCTCTCATTCTGCATACACAACAGTGTCAGACACCATCAGTGCTCCAACTACCAAAAAAACCCACTAAGTAATCACAACTACTAGGAGCTTCTAAGAAAACCCCCAAAAGAACAGATTTGGTTTTCGAAGAAGAGTTCAAGTTTTCCCAGACATTACTTCAATCTCTCCTGGCAGACCCAGGTTTTGGCATGGCTCCTTTTGCTCCCCTCTGCCGGGCCTTCCTTGAGGAGGCTGTCATAAGAAAGCCCACATGCCTTGCTGTGTGTACAGTTCTCTTCCTCCAGGCCTGCCAGGAGCACTGTTTCAGTCCACCTAACACTATGAGCTGATGATGCAGAGGCAGTAGTATCAGGTGAAATTCCAGGCTTTGAACCAAGTCACATCCCATGAAGTGTGTGTGCTTTGTGCCCTTTGAAAAGGCAGGTCAGAGCTGTGGGATCAAGAAACTGAAAATCTCCCCCCTCTGACTGGAGAGAACACAATGGGAACACTGCCTTTCCTCTAGAGCAGGACTGGGCAGTGAAGGGCAAGATATATAGATTTATACAGTGGACACAATGAATTCCTGCTGGCTCATAACCAACCCTTAGAGTTACAGCACTACACTTTGCCTGCCAGCACCACCAGGTAATGCCCACACACACTGTTAAACACACTCTTAATTTCTTAGAGATGCACTCTTGTTTTATCTACTCTACAGGCACCATTTGCTCACACATGCAGCAGTTTTCTGACTGCTTATTACCAGTGAGCTACCAGTGTCACAAATACTTCATTCAAAAGGTATGTGAGAGTTAAGAGCCTAATTATTTGAAAAGTCCTAGGATTCTGTAAAAAGTATTCAGTTAATACTGTCCTATAGTTTATTTCATTCAACCTTGTCTTTGCCTCAAGTGACACATCCGAGATGGCGTGTTGACAGTACAGGAGAGTGGTTACTGTTCCAAAAGAAACAAAACAAATACTCCAACACCCCCACCTTTGGGCTTAAATGCAGTATCACTACAGTTTTTGAATGTAACAAACCACAGCATGGGTGCCCTGGCATAAACCCAGAATCCTAGGTAGAAGAAAGTAAGTGCTCTTTACTAGCTGCTTTGTTTTAGTACACACACATCAGGATTTGCAGAAGTGCCATTTGTCAGAAACACAGCGGAGCAGAGAAAGAAAAGTAAGTCTCTAACTGCCTACTAACAAAGAAAGCTAATTTAATTTTGAAACAAAAGGAGCTAAATTCATCATTGTGAGACAGCCCCAGGACGTCCAAGCACGAAAAGGAAGAAAAGGAGTTTGCCAAAGACATGCAGAAGAAGCTTTTTAAAGTTACCTGGAATCAGGATATTTTGTAAGCGTGGCCAAGCTGCTGGTATACATGTGCCCACCCACATCAATGTGAACTGGTGCGTTGGATTTTGTGAGCTGTGCTGGAGTGGGGATGCCTTGATTGTTCAATGGAGATGCAGGGGATCTAGTGATCAGAGGTCTTGACATATTGGGCCGACTGTCCTGTGAAAAGATAGACCTGGGTTAATGATCCTCTTTAAAACCTTACAGAAACCCCCAGTCTTGAATCAATAGGACTGTCTCACAGTCTCTGATTATGACTTTTATCTTAGTAAAGCACAGACAAGTACTCGGCAGTTTCAAAAATGAATCCAGCTCTAAGGGTTTGAAACGGCTATGTTTTAAATGAGTGGGGCAAAACGCACTGATAAAACCCACGAAGAAGAAATCACGTCCAATAAAACAAGTTTTTCCTGAATACTACTCGCGACAGTCAATCCATACCAACAAAAAGAGTCATTCTCATTTTTAAGAACTGATGAAAGCACTGACAGAAAGAGATACAGACAAAAACACTGAGAACAATATTTTCCTTAATTAAGACGACCCCAGGAAGAGTTTCCATTCCTTCCCAAACCCTCCGTCACTGCCGTACCACCAGAACAGAAATACAAACCCTCAACTCCTCCATCCTGCACACTCTTCTCTCGAATTCCCAATTCACATAGCACAGGAACAGAAGCAGAAACACCTGGACTAGTCAACTGCTCATGGACTGCGGACCACTGGACATCGACAGCCTTTGAGAAAGACATTTTCCATTTAAAAGTTATACGTATGGCGACAGCTGCCCCCGTGTGCCGCGGGTAGGCTGCGGGTCCGAGCGCGTCCCGGGGCCGGCGAGCGCGGGGCGGGAGCGGGAGCGGGAGCGGGAGCGGGAGCGGCGCTTTGCGGATGGAGCCAACTTTTGGTCGCAGAGGGAGCGCGGCCGCCTGCGCGCTGCGGGTGGGGCAGGGCAGGGCAGGGCAGGGCAGGGCGATGAGCTGGAGCCAGGAAGGCAGGCGGCAGGCAAAGTTGGGGATTAAAATAGAAATGCGTCCGAGAGCGGTTCTGAGACAACCCCGCTTTCGACTGAAGGACAGCTCCGCACGGGGTGGAATCTTATAGGGATGCCCTGAGAACTAAAAGCCCTTGCAAATGACTGAGTTTTACATTTAAAAGGTAAGCAAAGCAGCGAGAAGTCAGATACGCTTCATCACGAAACTCCCTTTGTTCTTTCAGCACTGTCTTTCAGCTGCACTAAGTAATGGATTCCTTGTAAACATCTCCTCGGCAAAGCCCAGCAAAGCGGAGCGCGGCCATCCGACAGAGTTGCGGGACATTGGGGCTAGCAAAGCCCGCCGCCGCCAAAAACACCACTTCTCCATTCTTCATGCCTCTTAAAAGACTTAAAAAACCATAAAGGCAACGTGAGCCAGGTAATCGTCTGGATGAAATGATTTACGGGCCAACGTTGCACAATAAATCCGAGTAATATGTAACAAAAGGCATCTATAAACCACAAGGCGCTTAACTAATTTTCTTTCATACACAAAAGCTAGCTTAGGTCTAACCGATAAAAACTAAGGGAATGAAGAAAAACATCTAGTTTAGATGTCAGGGAGTGGAGGGGGGGAGGAAGGGTTGGGTTTCTTCTCTTTCTTTATGAGCAGAAGTTAATATAAATCTGCAGAAATACCGGGCTTAATCACTACAATTGCTGGAGGAGGTGCCTGCAGCACAAAGAAGACAAGTCCAGACAAAATAAGGTACACACGCTATGCAAAACTAATGTCTGCTACAAATGCTATGTGGTACAACCACCACCCAAGATGCTACTGATCTGCAGAGCGGTATTTAGTAAAATAATGAAGAAAAAAATTAAAAACAACGACTACAAAGGTGAAAGGACTGATACAAACTGGGGGTGGGGGGAGCATGAGTTGGACGATTAGCAGGAGGAAAGCAGCAGGTCTGAGGAACACATTTCAGTGCTTAAAAGCAGACAAACAGCAGAAAGAAAGATAAAATTATCAATGAATTTTTCTATAAATCCATATCAATAAAATTATCAATGAAAGTTGAGACTAAAACGAAAACCAAATTCTGTAACTTGTATGAGATGGACACCAGCATGTCCCTTCACAGGATTCACTCTGGCAGAGAAAACATAGCTCTCTTGCAATTTAGCACAGTGCAGCACCACCAAGTCTGTCATAGCTTTTCAATTGGACACATTCTCCTGTATACCCTGCCTGGGGCTGCTTTGAGAGAAAATGAACAGATTTGCAGGGTTAATATTGTAGTTAGGGTGGAACCTCATTCAGTGTAGCTGTGACAGCACTGGCTGCACAAAACAGTAGAAGAATGTGTAGTATAAACATCACTGCCAGGATGGGAGATAGGTTGGAGGACCGTGGGCATTTTAAAAGGCAAAAGAACCCACAAAACCTAAGAAAAGGGAACCAGTTTCCAAACCCAAGTCATAATGAAGCTGCTGTTTACACAGTTTACCTACTAAAACTCGCAAGAAATAAAAAATGCTTTATAGTAAAACCTTTTGCTCTTTTATCTCATCCTCCTCCTTTTCAACACTTCCTCTTCAAGTAACCTGTATTTATTGTGTCTCATGAAACAAAGTTCTTCTTTTCAATAGCTGATATTAAGCACAGTAATGCTAACCTTGCTCCAGTCTTGGCCCATAAAACACATTTCCCTGTATAAAAACAGTTCAGTACCATTTTGGAAACATTTTGAAATTAGGAAATTGTATTCCTACTGCAGTTGCCCCAGAGAAACTAAAGCAGAAATGGGATTCAGAGAAGCAGGTGCTTTAAAAAAATACCATTTTTTTTAATGTGGCACAACTCAATAGCACTGTCAGAGCACAGAAGATCACCATCCAATGGGTACAGAATTTAACAGATCAGTTATATAATTGCATCAGTTAAATCACCGTACTGTTCAGCTATGGAAAGGATAATGCAGGGGCAAACAGTCTCTGGAGAAATTCATGGCTTGTGTTGGATTATTGCAAACATGGAAGTGAACAAGCTCTGGTAAAAAGTAGTTAAAACAAGGCACTGCTGGTAAGTTAAGCTTCTACCACCTAATGTGATTACAAATACAATTTCTTAGCAAGAATTACAGGTGGAGAGAAGGGAGTCAGAGAAGCTAAACTCAATGGGCTCCATCAAACTATCTGGAACAGCTGACAACAAAAAGAATCAAAAAGCTCTTCAGAAGCCTTTCCTGGTGTCAGGCAGGTGAGACATGAAACCAGGAACGGGTTCAGAGCTCAGCCACATAGGGTTGTTCTCACATGGGAGATCACAGAGGTTGCTGTCTGCCTTGGGAAAGCATCAGCTTTGTTCGTGAATGGGGCACAAAGCGTGGCCACCACCTGCACTGGCTGGATGGGCAGTGATGCTCCTGACCTGTCAACAGTCTGACCCTTCATAGCTTTCCTTCTCCAACATTTTATTATTTATCCTCCAAAAAAACTAAATAAGAACAGAAAAGACAGTTTTATGACAGTTCCATGTACCCAAAATATTTCAGGGTATTTCAATAAATAAATAAATGAAACATTTATCATCATTGATATACAGATGATTCCCCCCACCCCAACAACTTTTCATAAAATTTGATTCCCACTTTCACTCAGAATACGTGTATGACTGAAACTATGCAATCAAAAGTGCCAAAATCTGTGTGCTAGGCAGGCTAAAGGCATTTAGGTTGTCTAAAACTTTCCAGTTTTAGTTCAGCACACAAAAGCACTGCTCTTAGAGTAGTTTGGGGCTCCTCCTTCCTTGCTGATATTTGAAGGAGTCTTTCCACAACAAGCAGCTCATAGGCACAGGTCTTTGGAGTATATCTGAATCTACTTCACATTTTCTGCTCTAGGCAAGCCCTCCTGCAAGCTCAACAAAAGCAAAAGCAGCTCTGCCTTAACTACTCCTCCTGGGATTTACAAAAATCCCTATAATTTAGAAGTCTTCCTTACCAAAGGGGGGCAAGGATCATGAAGAAGAGCTTTCCTTTCTCTCCCAGCCTTTTTTTCTATATCATGTTCTCCCCAACTCCACTCAAACACATTGTTAAAGAATAAGCCTCAACACCTGGGTTGAAAAAGACCACAGCAGCTGCAGGGCTGAGATGTGCACTCATGCAACTGGTCTACCAAACGACAACAACAGGAACCATGTCAATGTTCTGGTAGCAAGTGGAGGGAATAGGAGATATCTGAAGAATATGAGTCATTACAATGTGCTAAGTGTACAAAAATCAAAGAGATGGGAGGCTTACTCCTCCCCTCAAAATATTAGCACCGGTGTCCTAAATGTTATTTACACTCTGTGGTCTTGAGTAAAGTCATCGTGGTTCCCTTCTTAAGACAGAAACCTTGACAAAAACCATGCCACTACAAGACAGCCCAAGCTCAGGTACAGAAGGACCGGCATTCAACTACAAACTGTCTGCTTGACTCACTGGACTCTGAGGATCCTTTTAGTTTGCAGGTCAAGGCACTGCTGGCTGGAATTATTTTAGCCAATGTCTTCCCTGTAAGGCAGCCCAGCTCAAGCAGAAGTGTATATGCTACTCAGCAGCATACATACTCCTTGTCAAAGCCCCAGCAATTATTACTGCTGAGAAACTCAAATTTCTAACTCCCCTGGATTTTTACGGGGGACATCAGGGAAAGCTTGTCTTATCTGTTCTAGACATTAGAATGAATAATCATGCAGTAGTTTATTCTAAAGTAACAAATCAGTCTGTGTTCATCATCCTTTTTTCACAACATGAGGCAGTGCTTCTCCTCACAAAAGCTCGGTGCCCAGGAACAACTGGAACCAGCAGTTAACACATCCACATCAGCCACCTCCAGCAGAAGAGTCTGAACACATGTATCCATCCCACTGTATGGGGAGTGAAGCCAAACAGCAAACAAACTTCAGAAGCTGCTGTCAAATCCCTTTTCCTCCAGTAAGAGCAGAAATCACTCAAGTGTCAGGGACATCTGTGTGCCTGGACTCTGAAATAAACAGCAGACTGATGCTCCGGGGTGCTTGTGGGATGGGGGAAAGTGCAGCCCAAGAACTTCATCCAAACCAGGAACATTATGACTGCTCTTGGATTTGGCTCCTGCACAAGTGTCCCCATTTTGAAGATGCACTTTT